CAGGCCTTCCCGGTCAGAGTCGCTGCAGTGACCTCATTTGACGACTTGAGCCACTTCTCCCGGTTTCATCATTTTGAATCACCTCCATCACAACAGGTGTTCCTCCTATCCGTAGGCTTTAACGTTTGTTTTTTTATACGAGGAAAACAAAACACTGGCGACTCGGCTGCGCGAGTTACGTGAAGCCGCCGCGCGGGGCGCAGTCTTCGTTCGCAGCGCGCTCCGGGAGGCCTCTGCTCTTGCGCAACGACGGATGCTCTTTTGTTACGAGACACGCGACAGCCAACGCCCGCTCTACCATGTGATTGCAGTCAATCCGACAACGCCGAGCCGGCGGCCTGCAACCACGGGGACCAGGGACCTATAACTCCCATGTAACGTGGCGGAGACCATTACGGTGGCGCGCTCTGCTGCATCACCTTCTTTCAGGAACTAAAACACGAACTGTTGCCAACGATACTTTAAACGTGCGTGGCTGCTGCGTGAGTTCGCGGGTCACAAGCAGGCCCTTAATGTTACAAAAGATAGCGCTGATGTTCGCGCTTTCTTCAGAGGTTTCTTATAAGTATGGATTATGAATAATTGTACTTTTAGAAGACACTCTACTTCTCACAAATTAGCCAATTTGTGTGCGGAAAGTTGGCGAGCCTAACCTGCAGCTGCACGCGGCGACACTAGCGCTTCCTAAAGCAGCAACCTCAAGCTTTGTCCCCGATTTTGGTGGAGAGATGCCGGGCCCTCGTGGGGACTGGTCGGGACCTTGGTTGCGCATCTACAAGCACCCACGGTACTAAGTTTCTTGGTCGGTATGATTCTCGTTGTTAGTGCCAAGGCGGGCACAATGATGACACGGGTTAGGGGATCCATGTCCCCTTCCCCGAGTCTGAAGAGTCCTGATGGCCACCATTTTTTCAAGAAAATTCTGTAACTTACGTAACAACGCTCCAAGCCTGTTTGGACTTAATTATTCTTGAAGATTGGTCAGTCACACATGAAGTCAAATTACCTTTATCACAATCGGCTAGGGACTCATCTACGAGTCAGTCACCCATCCAGGAACCCACGCTATCACGAGCTGCTTAAACCGGGAGAGGTGGCTCAGGGCATCAATTGATGTTACTACAGTCCTCCGGAAAGCCCTAGATTTGAGTCCCGACGGTGACAGAATTTTCGACATTTGCCAGATAGCTATGTGGTATTCAGTCTCTGTCTGTAGGAGAGTCCTATCGGCCAGCTGCTCTGATCGGTAATTTTCCTATCAATACTAGGCGAATGCCGGAGCAGTACACTAAAAACGAGCCACGGACTGCGCGCGATCTTATCTTACTCTTCCTTTCATATTCCCTCCCCTTACTTGCACACACGTTATCATGCACTAGAGTACCACACATGATGAGAGACCGGTCGGGAGCTTAGAGCTTGTTCCGGCTATGACGGTACCCCACTGGTGAGAGATACCTGGTTGGGGGAAATCCCGCAAGGCAACGTGAAGGTCGGCGCCGGATCTCTCCAGGCTGCGGGGGGAAGATCCCATGGAAAAACATGCACTACGCCTACGGGACTAATGACCTCCGGAATCTCAAATCATTCAAAAAAATTGCTGCTTTACATCCGTTACGTCACTAATCTTGGTTAAACAGTTCTGCTGTTCGCGGAGGTTCCCAATTCCAAAAGCGACTATATTTTGAGAAATATAACCCGAGAGTGGGTAAATGAACCACGCGTGGAATGCTTTTTATTACGGCAAGTGATACAAACACTTAACCATGTTAAGGTTGTTAGGTTAAGCTAATCGTTAATAAAAATTATCACCGAATAAATTGACGCCCATCCCTTACGCATTTTCTCAAGACTTCGGCCTTGGTCCACTACGATTGACTTAAAGCAATTTTTGATTCAGAAAACGGGAAATATCCAACCCATTTAATTATAAGAAACTGCAGATTCGGCTTAGCACAAATTGCCTGAAGCAACAAAACTCCTGCACAACAAAACCACGCAAAATGTTTTTTGAAAAGTGGCACGCACATTGCTCAAGAACAACTACACCTGCTTAGCACTGCAATATATTAAATATTTTAACGAAAGTGTCCACGCGTGTCCAACTAAACCATAAGCTATTCACATGGCCGAAGACTGCAAAAAGTTCCGTCAATTTATGTGTAATTCGAAATTAGAGAGAGGTAATACGTAATTCGCTAGAGGTGACTCAAGGCATCCGATGATTGCTCTGCAGTGCCGGGATGACCTAGGTTCGAGTCCCGACGGAGGCAGGATTTTCGACACTCCCTAAATACCTAGGTCGGGTTCATTAGCCGTCTGAAGAAGAAGTCTAGCGGCCGGCTGCTCTGATCGCTAGTCTCTAATGGTTTCATTGATTAACACCAGGCGAATGCCGGAGCAGTATCCTACCAAACGGGCCACGAACCGCGCGACATCTTCCTTTTCCATTCCTTGTTCTACCCCTCACACACACACACACACACTAACATGCACTACACTACCGCACATGCTGGGAGACTAGTCGGGAGTTTAGAGCTCGTCCCGGTTGAGGCGGGGCCCCTGTGGTGGGAGATAGTTGGTTGGGGAAAAACTCGTTAGCCGACGATCGTCGCCGGATCTCGCCATCAACCGGGGGAAGCTCACCGTCTCGTTTCGAGGAAAGCGCATCTACTGTAATTACGGGACTAATGACTTTAGCAGTTGATACGCTTGGAACCACTAATCAATCCCAATTAGTAATATAAATTGAATATTATATCTAACCCGTTTGCTTCTTCCTCTGTGTCAACAACGTGCCACTCGGGTTCTGGGACCTTGTTGCAACGTTCGAAAAAGCGAGTTCTAGTTTTCTTGAATTGGAAATGTGGGTGTCGTGACACTAGAGAGCATAGGATAAATGTCATAAGCAATTGCTTTGCTGGTCGTGGTGATCAAGTTGTCTGCCTGTCGCGTGAAGCTTCAGATGCCATCAAGGAAGACATTTGTGCAAGAAATAGATGGAGTGAAAGCATCAAACCTCCATTGTTGCCAGATTGGTTTATTTTTCACAAGTTGAAGAGAACAACTTGAGGAAAGGATCGGAGAAATGTCTAATACACAAAACAAATAAATTTGTGACATCAATTATTGCAAACTAAAGAACGAAAATTAAGATATCAAGAAGAGGAAAAGTATTACTTGAAATATTGAGTTACACTTGAATTCTAGAATTCTGGTCGCTGATGTCAGGAAGGGAACAACAGGCTTTCATTAACTTTGTAGGAACGTTTTGTCTTACATGGTCTAATAAATGGATTTCAAAGAATGACTGAATTTATTTGTAATTCCTGACGAAGAGGGAAGGTAGTATTTGAGATATTAAAAATTCAAAAATTAATAGAACATGTTTATACAATTCTTGAAAATATAACGGTTTCTGATTACATGTTCCTGGTTTCAATGTGTTTAATAAATAATATCATTCTAAAATAATTCTGGACTAAAACTCCAAAAGCATTATATAGATACCCATGTCACAGACAGATATTTCTCTTAACCAGATGTATTTCATATTATGATGTTTCTGTCTCAGAGTTAAGACTGCTCCACCCATGGTAGCATGCACGTGTTCGGAGAATCTTCCCTCTGTTGGCCGTCGAGGTTAGCATCGCGTAGGTCCAGCAGCATCTGCCTGCAGGGTGGTCATTGAGTGCTAATCGCATTCAGTTAACACACTTTCTCGTATGGATCTTTCCGCGCCTTAGTATGAACGCATAGGAAATGGAGTGGCAGGGATAATCCAAGGAGTAAATCCAGTACTGATCTCCGTGTGTTGGCACACTGACCGCCAAATTGTTTCAAATTTGGCACCTCGTTTCGAATAATGCACTTTTGATGCTCTTTGAAAGCATTTCAGAGGTAAAGATCATATATTTCAAATTTCGCGCCTTATTTAATCAAAAAATGCCGCGCAAATTTGTTCCCATTAACCAAACACTCACTTCGTACAAAGTTCCTTGACATAGATTGTCTACTGCTTCCTGTCAGTTCGGAGCGTCATCGAAGGATCGCATCAGCTCCTGGGCAGCTCCTCGTGCGAAAAAATTTGTGAACATGGTCAAATTTAGAATCCAGAGGTTTCCATTTTAGACCCCACGAGCTCGCATTGTCATCAGAGGCGAAGTGCAGAACGCGCAGTAAAAACGTGTTGGGCGCAATTAAGGTTCGATTCAGGGTGTGCCAGGCCACCTTTATGCAGCCTAACATACAGTAATCTCTTCAATACTCGTTGATTCTTTCTCCAAGTTACAATTTTTGCCAATTGTGTGTCGTTTCTTTTCCACAATACTTTTGTCTGATGAAAAATTATCGATGTTCCTCGCAGTTCCTGCTAATTGCTCTCCCAACGTATCTACGAATATTTCGCAGGCATCGTGTTGTGAACTTCGCGCGAGGAAATTGTTTCTGACGTCACATAGGAGGAAACCGGCTACTCTGAATGTATGCACATATTTGGTATTTTGGGTCGATTGTCCGACATTGCTAGCTGACTCACGGTGGCCCCCGTACCTAGGCCTACTTTAATTTCCATGCTGTGAGGGTGGAAAGATATCGGTGGGCTCTTGCGCAATATATCCGACTTCAGCCAATGAGTTTTAGGCACCAAACTGCGGTGCGGTGCAGTACATAGAGCTTTCACTAGTTTTAAAGCTACATTTTATTACCTTGTTAATTCTACACTTATTATTATTATTATTATTATTATTATTATTATTATTATTATTATTATTACTTTGGTTATCGGTTTAATTCTTATGAACATCATTTTTGTTACTACGTAATATTAATTTTGCATTTTTAATTTTATTTTAAAAATGTTGGTTTTCTCTGTATACATGAAATTACTAGGCACCAGTTAATACAACATTATAATTCAAATAAATCTATTTTAAAGAAGCGATGGAGCTAAATAAGTACAAAATTAGCTGATGCGACAAAAAATGTGTTTTTCAACTCACCAGATCTGATGCATTCTTCCGTTTCACAAATGTTTTCAGTAATTTTGTCTTCAACTGTAAGGAAAAGATGTAATTATACAAATGAATGTATCACAAATAAATATATTAAAACAATTTTTACTTAAATATTGCATATAAATGTGTCTTTTTGGTACATGTGAATTAATTTTGCCACATCTTTTACGAACTACATGATTTTACTGCATCTGAAATTAAATGCAATCTCATGTTTTTACTTCATTTTTGAAAGAAGGATTTTGGTAGTCAATAACTAATTCAATTCAAATACAAGGACTTGGAAGTAGATAGTTTCATATTATTTCCGACTGAAATTGAATTAAATATTCAAACTATAACCAAAATGAATCTCTGACAAACTTTACATTACCCTCTCACATGTTAACATAATTTAATAGACCATTTAGAGAAACACGAGCTGAGAGCCACGTATATAGTAATACCTCAATTTTTGCCTACTTGTGTTCTAGATCTATCTCATTTGGTACGCTTCAGTTATTAATTAATGTTTCCCTTTCAAAACACACCTTTTAATAACGACTGAAAGAAAAGATGCCCAAAAGAGAAGGCACTGTCCACCAGTACCCAAAATAAATGTAGCTTCACTATCTAAGCACGTTTTATTGAGCTCTGTGGTGTTAGTAGGGAATGTACTTATTTTATCACCAGTACTATTCCACGACTTCTTGGCTGTCAGAGTGACGCCGCGTCGTTGGCTAAGAGGCCGACGTTTCGCCTGTCATGTCGCAGGCTTCCTCAGGGTAGCTACTGCGAAATGACCGACGATACTGCGATGAGGAAGCCTGCGACATGACAGGCGATACTTCGGCCTCTCAGCCAACGACGCGGCGTCACTCTGACAGCCCAGAAGTCGTGAACTCGAGCCGCGGAAGCGTACGTGTACAACGAAAGCGACGACTTCTTGGCTGTCCGGGTGACGCCGCGTCAGGGTAGTCCTCACTACCCTGAAGAAGCCTGCGATATGACATGCGAAACATCGGCCTCTCAGCCAACGACGCGGCGTCACCCGGACAGCCAAGAAGTCATGAACTCGAGCCGCGGAAGCTTACGTGTACAGTACTATTCCATTTCCATTTCACATCTATCGCTTTCCATATTCGTCGGAGAAAACAATAGAAAGAATAGCGACTCTGAATATTTCTGCGGTAATGACAAGTAAAATACAAATAAACCAGAACTTACGTCGTATCACCACCACCACCAGGCAGATGACGAGCGCCACCACCAACAGCACCAGCAGGCCGAGAGCAAGCAACAGCCGCCGTTGCCTGGGAGTCTTGCTGTCTCTGCGAACACACATGTCAAACTTACGTTTAGGCAGTGGAACAAGGACCAGAACATGTAATCCACGCATTTCTTGAATGGTCATAAGCTAGTCAAAATATCTGAGATCGTTAGGGCAGTGGTGTCGTAGCGGTCTTGGACCAGAAAACCGCGGTTTCGAGTCCCGCCTCGGGTATGAGTGTATTTGTGTATGTCTATATGCGTATGCCGTTCTTTCACCTATCACTATCACTATCTCATCGTCCATACTCCCAGGGCTAACAACCTTGGGGGATAAAATCTGCATTCAGCTAAAATGCTGATCCCCCTCTCCCAGAAAGAACCTTGAATCCTTGAACTACTGAAGCAGGATGCACGTTTGGTCCAAATTGGCCTGTACGAGAAAAAATAGAGAGAAATGACAACACAAGAAATTGTAAGTGACAGCCGTCCTGGTTAGCCAAGTGCGCTAAGGCTGAAGGGTCGTAGCTGCTTCGGTTCGAAGGGTCGCGTGTTCGAATCTTGCCTCGCGCATGGATGTTTGTGTTGTCCTTACGTGTTCTTCCTACAGTTCCCACTACAGTTAAAACCATCTCAGTGGTCGTTATATGACCAAGATCTTAAAAAGCGACCTTACATTTTTGTAAATAAATAAGCGTGTATAAATTACACTTGCATTGACATATACGTCGACTGATTGTTTGATTCCTGATTGCATATAAACTCGTCATTAGATCATTAATCCTGTAAGTGTAGAGCATTTTTTTCTCGCGGGAAGAACCAAAGTTTCTCTCCCGCTAGATGGTGACATACAGCACCTCCCCACACATCGGCTTGTGAGGATTTCCACTCCCAGGTATTTCCTCCTAGCAGAGCACCGCCCAGGCGGAACAAGCTCTAAGCTCCCAACACATGTGGTAGTGTAGTGCATGTGAGTACAAATTTGTCAGTGAATGGGGAGAGGATTGGATGGGAACGAGAAAGAAAGATCGTACGCGACTTGTTAGGGAACTGACAGTTATTGATCGGAGAACCCACGGAAAAATTACTAATCAGAGAAGGCGGCCTCCTCTAGACAATGGTTGAAGTCGACCTAGCTGTGTAGCTAGAGTCGAAAATCCGTCCCATCGGGACTCGAACCCTAGAGACGCTGCAGAGACTGCGGTAATGAGGCAACAGCAGCATTCGCTACTTGTGATTGGTGCAGCCGGCCGTTAGATTTAAGCCTAGCTTTGTGGCTCGGGCCGAAAATCCACCCTAGGGACTCCCGTTCAGCGACTTGAAAGAAGTAACAGATGTTTTCCCTGAGCAACCGCAGCTGGTAAATGAACTGCAGCCGGATAGAGTGAAGTGCTGGTGATGTAGTTGGCCTTGCTTTTAAAAAGTTCAGTGCGAAATTTAATCACTTTTGCATTATTATAATGCCTTGTACTTCAAAAACCAAAACATATAGGCGAAGACTGTTTTCATGAGCGGTTAGAACTTTCTTTGCGCTATAACCCTCTGCTAAACGCCACATTCCTTTCAGGACTACACTGTATAATACGCCATGGAAAAATGTCGGATTTGTGCGATTTATAAATAGCATTGACACGAAGCCCCGTAAATGTATTACGAAGCGGGTTATCTTCTCCGTGACGTCACATACAGTTTTTACTGTTTTTTGATTAAATAAATCTACTAGGTACAGTAGTCGCGACTTCCAGGGGTGCATCAAACTGTTTTATGGCGAACAATTGAGAATTTTTCTTCATTTTTTTTATTTTTGTATTTATTTATTTACTTATTTATTTATTTGTATATTTATATTTTTTATTTATTTGCTTATTCATTTATGTATTTATTAATTTACTTAACGTAAAAATTAATTAAACCTATGTGGCCTACTATGTGGAGAAATGTAATGTGTGTACAGTTTCTTAAGCACAGGGATATCTGCCCTTACTCGCAAACATATGAAGTTCAATTATAAGTACAGGTACAAATGAGCGTTTTTGGCAAGAACTGGTCCGAAAAGATTCCTCCCTGTGTATTAAAAACTATTCGCAAAGGCAATCAGCTACAGATTTTGGTTATTACATCTCGTCGTGCCCTTCGTGAAGGCATCGACTTACTGAGACGAGAACATGGAGAACGAATATTTGAATTATTAACGTGGCTATCCGAGAGACACCGCGTCCAGGGAACATATGCCAGGTGTCAGGCCACAGGTGGACCCAGATAGCCAAGAAAATACCAACTCCGGCCGCGGAAGCCTACGCTCTCAATATTCGAATTACTACATGCCCCACTGAGCTCTAGAGACCATGCACTACGAGTCAATTTTCATTTAAGCCCAGAAACAGAACAATTAAGATTTAATTACCTTAACCGAAAAGAAGTCTTCATGTTACGTCCGTTGATTCATATTATAAATTTTAGAAATTAAACTTATTTAAATACATATTATTTTGATAGTCTACTTAAAGATGTCTGTTTCCGTTCGTATTTTCTAATGTTAAATGTAGACATCTACGTAGTTGTAAGAATTAAAGATAGAACAACGATAGAATAACAAATATATATAACTACAAAAATACCAAAACATGATGAATTTATGATGTTATTCAATATATATGACTTAAAAAAATAATTGATTTTCAGTAAAAAAATTGAACATACATAAATTATTAATTAAATTATGTTTAATTTTAGCAATAAATATGTGTGGCTAGTTTTGGAACATAATATTGGTATTGTGGTGAGTTTTCGTTGGGATTTACAATGAAATAATTATATGAATCGTCATTGCCAACAATATTGTTTATTACAATATAACAATATTCACAAAGTAGGTATCAAAGTTTAATTCAAATTTCAAAATTCCCTCAAAAAATGCTATTCCCGAAACAACACGGTGTCCATTCAGTATGTTACCATGACTGCGAAGCCAAATATATTTGTCAAACAGGTAGAACTTTTAACACCAGAATCAAAGAACATATAAACGCTTGGAAACACAACACCTGTGAATCTCACTTTGCCAATAATTTACTCCAGACAGGCCATACATTCAATTCACACGCAGATATTCGTATACTGAAAGTAGAAAATCATTATCACACTAGATTAACTTTGGAAAACCTCCAAATTCGTTTAAATAATAACTTTCTGAATGAAAACATAAACCATAGCCCATCTCCTCTACTAATATTATTATTAGACACCACTCCCACACCACACTCTTCCGGGGCGGCACAGTAGACAGCACACCGCACCCAGGCCATTGCCCTCCATCACCCTACAGCCGGGTACTAGAGCCCCTTGGCTCGCCTGAGCCCGCATAGTTTCATGTTTTCTGTTTCAAAAATTTAACATGCTCAAATTCAATTTCATTCACTTTCTTGTAATATTAAATGATTTAAGACCCCACTTTCAGTTCTTAAAATGTTAAATATATTTTCTAAAATTGAAATTATTAGTAATCTCTTTAATCAAATATTGTTTTTTGATTCGTGTTTTAATGTTTTTCTCTTGTACTAGAAATCTGATGATGGCTAAGCCATCGAAAGCTGCTATTGTAATAAACAATATTGTTTTTAATGACGACTCAAATAATTATTACTTTTGAACATAAATTATACTTGTTATAATATGTAACTTTTCCCCTGGATTATTTGCCGAAATTGGCAGCAATTTACGCGTGCCTACAGGGGACAAAGGTGCTCGTGGCTAGCTGTTGGTCAGCGTTCTCGCTTTCCAGTACGCGGGTTCGATTCCCAGTCAGGAAAGATTCTAGGATGCGATTTCCTTGCAATGTCCCAGTTGCTGTGTGACAATGACAAAATTCACTTTTCAGGTTGGGAAGACCGGAATACGGCGTGGGGATGTCTACGTTCTAACCACACCTACCCCTTTAACCCATGTCCGCGAGGCAGGGACGTCGCCGGTAGGCCTAAGCCCGTTCACGGGCGTCAAGTACATTCATACATACAGGTGACAAAGACGTTAATCCACTTCTGTGTTCAGAGTCTGTGGTAGATAACGTTGGACCGAGTTAAGTGGCGCGGCAGAATTCATGTCAAAGCCGAGCCTCTGACCGGAAGGTCTTGAGTTTCGAGTCCCGACGGTCCCAGGATTTTCGGCACTAGCTACATTGCTAGGTCGAACTCAGCTGGATACTGGAGGAGAAATATAGCGGCCGGTTTCTCTGATCGGTAGTTTTCCGTGGTTACGCCGACCAATACCAGGCGAATGCCGGACCAGTACTCTAACAAACGGGCCACGGAACCTGCGCGATCTTTCCTTCCTCTTCCTTGTCCTCTCCTCACCCTCTGCACACACTTGCATACACTACACTACGTATATGCTGGGAGACCGGCCGACACTAGCTAGCCGATACATGGAGAGGTCGAGCTTAGCCGATACTTAGAGAAAAATTTAGTGACCGGCTGCTCTGATCGTAAGTTTTCCGTGGTTACTCCGATCTATACCAGGCGAATGCCGGAGCAGTACTCTAACAAACGGGCCACGGACCGCGCGTGATATTTCCTTCGTCTTCCTTGCCCTATCCTCATCGCTCACGTACACTCCCACAAACATGCACTACACTACCACACATGCCGGGAGACCGGTCGGGAGCTTAGAGCTTGTACCGACTGCGCGGTGCTGGTGCGAGATACCTGGTTGGGGAAAACCCCGCTACCCGTCGTAGGTCAACACCGGATCTCGCCATCCGGGAAGAAAGATCACCGCCACCTCCCACGATAAAAACATTCACTACACTTACGGGACTAATAACCTCAGCCGTTTATGTTCCCAGAATCACTAATGAATCAATCAAACAAACTTTGCTTCCAGCGTAAAGCTATTGACAAAAAAAATGATTTTTACAAAGAACGGAATATTCGCATGAATCCAACTAGTTTCAGTTATACCCTGGTTAGTGTGTATTCGGAACCCATTATACACTACAATACGCTCCTGTGCTGAATGCTTAACGCAAGCATAACTACGCCACAGGACGAGCGGTAAATATTTGTGA